TGGGAATTAAGTACTTCATCTATTTGATCTGTGTTAATAGATTAGTTACAAAAAATTGAAAGAAAAGTTTATTTTCACAACAGTATTCCAGAGTCAAAGCTTTTTTTTTTTTTTTTCCTCTTCTCAAACATTATCTTAAATAATTCATCTGTAATTGCTTTAGTTCAGTCTTAGATGTAGGTAAGGTCTAATGGTAGTGACCGTTACAGAAAATTAACATTATGTTTTCATTTAAGCTCAAAAATGCTGTCTGCCTTCTCATGGTCAGTGACTGCCGGACTGCATTTTGGTGGAAAGCTAGCAGCTTCTTATATAGCATTACCCCATCTTCTTAGTATCAGAAAGCGTTTTTCTTGTAAGATTGTGAATTTCTCCCAGAACTCTTCACTGTTACACATCTAAAAAGAAAGATAACCATGTAAGTACATTGCATCACAAAAGGGACATCTTGAGATGTCTTGGTTGATTTAAAATCAGTGCCATCCACCCACTGGAGGAATGGCATTGTCAGTGATGGTAACATTTTAGTCATTTTAAATAACAGTCGTGTGGAAAAAGCTACCATGGCCTATTTGACACCCCTCCCGGCCTCTGCAGGCATTGCACACACGTGGCAGCTTCTTGCCCACCTCCCCCCTCCATGCTGGGTTTTGTCTAACTTGAGCATGTGCAGGCCTATGTGTGCATGCCGTCAGTGCCGTGGGTTCATATGCGTAACTGCCCTTTTGTGTCTGGAAAACAGAGTTTCCTTGGCCTTGTATTATCCACCACCTCTGTCTCTTACAGTCCCTTCCCCTCTCCCTTCTGAAATGATTCCTGAGTCTAGGGAGGAGAGGAGAGGATACAGGTATCCTGGTTAGGTCTGAGAACTCTGTAGTCTCTTATTCTCTGCACTTTGACCAGTTGTGTGTCTATGTTAATCGCCATCTACCTTCCCTTGTGAGAGTTAAGAGATGTACTAATCTGTGAGCATAATAATAAGTCATTAGGAGTCAGTTTAATACTGTGACTATTTAGGAGTGGAGGAAGAGTTGTTGTCTCCCCAGGGCCTGTGACCTGTCTAGCCAGAAGTCCCTGGCCCTGATAACAGTGTCAGGTTAGGAACTTCATCCTGTGAAGCAGGCCTTAAATCCAATCAGAAAGTGGGAATACCGTTCTTGCCACTACTGCACCAGTGGGCATATCTTGCCAGGCCCTAACTGCTGGTATTTGTAGGGCATCTGGGCAGATGGTAGAAGCCATATTATTTGAAGTCAGGCCTTTCTTAGGATGAATTGTTCCCTTTTCCCCAGATTCATATCTGGAAGTCCTTATCCAGTATGGCCACATTGGTGTAAGAAAGTAATTCACATCATATAAGGTTAGGGCAATAGACTTTGGTCTGACTGGTTCATGTCATTAAAAGAGATCAGAGCAGGCCTCTCTGCTTGTAAGGACACAATAAGAAGGCCTTGTGTGGCAGCCAGATTGGCTGACCCCAGGGCTTGGGGGTTCCAGCCCTAGAAGTATGTCCTCCAAACTACTCTATAGGTGGAATGTTTTGGCAGTGTGAGTAGACCAGAGCAGGCCTGTCTCAGGAAGCTGGAGGACTGTGGTGGGTATTGTTGAGAAAGAACTGATGCTGGAGTCAGAAATCCAAAACTGACCTTCCTAGATTTATCCCCTTTATTCCTTTGGACTATTTCTCGCAGTATTCAAACAGATACAGTAGCGTTGTATCATAAAGAAAATAGTTATATCCATCAGAGCATAAAATGGGAATGTTCTTGAGCCAGCATCAGAACTGCCAGCCCTTCATACTATACAGACCTGCATACACAGGGAAACATTGCCTCCCTAGGAAGGAGGACAGGGACTGGTAATTCCACAGTAAGGAATGTGGACATGAAAATGCCACATGCATGATGAAATTCAGAGTGTAGAGTAAGCTTGAGTAAGTCCGTGCCTTGAAAGATGTCTAGACACAGATGAAGGCTTGTGTACATACAGTGTCTGGGAAGATGTGCGGCACTTAGTGATCATTCACCGCAGCTGCTTACAGATCCTGGGCCTGGAGCAGAGCTGCTACTTTTCCTTACAGTTTAAGTTTATTTTCTCAAATCTTGCCATGAACTCCTGCAGCGTGTGCACACTTCTGCTGCCCTCTTCTTCCACTGTTTCTCTTCCCCTTCCTGTCTTCCCTGCTCTGAAGATGGTCTCATCCCTGAGGCTGCTCCCCTGTTCACCTCCCAGCAGCATCCAACAGCAACTTCCTTGTTATAGCACTGTTTTTCCTGGATGGCTCCACACCTTCCTATGGCCTGTGCCCGTATCTCCAATTATGTTCTCAGCACCCATGTACCTTTTGACCTCTGCATCTGAATATCAACTTGTCTACTTGGATGTCTTACAGATGCCTGAAGGTTACATGTGTTCCCTGAAAATTCCCAACTTTCTCATTTTAGAGATTGGTGTGTCACTCCTTCATATGTGTGAGCAAGTCTGGTGACCCCATGGCTGACATTGCCTGAGCCTGCCACCTTCCCTGTGCACTTTTCCTGCTACAGCTGCAGCAGGGCAGGAGTCATAGCCAAGTGGGGGTCTTCGTGTCCCATCCCCCAAATTTTGCCTCCTGTATTATATTTTGCTATGACAAAAGCAGCTTCAGAGAGGAAGGGTTTATTTTGTAAGCTGGATAGCTTTAGTATCAACTTGACACATCTGGGTTGAAGGTGCCTCAATTGGGGAATTGCCTCCATTGGACTGGCCATGTCCATGGGGCATCTTCTTGGTACAGCCCACTGTGGGTGGTACCACCCCTGAGCAGGTGGGCCTGTGTTGCATAAGAAAGCAGGCTGAGCAGGGGCTGGGGAGCAAGCCAGTAAGCAGTGTTCCTCTGTGGCCTGTGCTCCAGCTCCTGCCTCCAGATTCCTGCCCTGAGTTCCTACCTTGGGCTCCCTGATGAATTGTGACCTGGGAGATGTAAGCTGAATAAACCCTTTCCTCCCCAATTTAGTATTGGTCAGCATGTTTTGTCACAGCAATGGAGAAACAAGCTAGAACATTTTGCCTCATAGTTCCAGGGAGGGGAAGTCATGGGGTCAAGCTCTTGAGGTAGCTGCTCACATTGCATCCAGTCAGGAAACATGATGCTGGTGCTCAGCTGCTTTCTCCTTTTTATGTAGTCCTGGACCCCAGTGTGTGGGATGGTGCCACCCACATTCAGGGTGGGGCTTCCCACTTCAGTTAACCTAATCAAGATACTCCCCCACAGGCTTGTCTCAAGTGATTCTAGCTCCTGTCAAGTGGATAATTAATATTTATTAACTATCACCTCGTCTCAACATAGGGCCCAGCATTCAGGCCAGAAGGCCACAGACTCTTCCCATTTAGCCTCAGAAGTCTTCTCTGTCTTAGGTTTAAGTTGATTGTCCCTCCATAACAGCTTTACTTCCTTATGTGGGATGCTGTGTTTGCATAGCCTACCCTGGAGATGAGTAAACTCTATGACGGTAAGGACTGAGTTTGACCTCTGATGTAAGCATTCTGTTATCATATAGTACCTGGTGCCTGGGAAATGGTAATATCTGCTGGGTGGTGCAGGGAATGACCAAAAAGAAACAGTATCTTCCTGAGCATAAATAAGATCTGTAAACTAATACTTATCTTACAAATAATGTGTTTGGTTTTTCACTGGAACTTCTCTCCAGCTGGATGTTTGTAGTTACATAATTTGAAACCACTTAAACTTCATTGAATTTTTGTGTGGGGGGATGGTGGGTGGAGAAAGGGTCTCATGTATCCCTGGCTGGCTTCAAACTTGAATGTAGACAAAGAAGTCATTGAACTAATTAATCCTCCTGCCTCTATCTCCTAACACTGGGATTATAGATGTGCACCACCACATTTGGCACAGTGATTTTTTTTAATTCAAGCTTTTAGGAAAAATATTGGCAAGAAACACACCAAAACTTAACAGCAGTTGGAGTGAATAAGGTGATTTTAGTTCCTTATTTCTCTGTGTATTTTCTTCCAATTATTAAACAAATACAAATAAAAGATAAGGACATTATTTGTTTTTCTAAGTGGATTCACAGCCTAATCATTACCAGCTAAATGCAAATGTCTTGAGATAGCAAACCAAATGAGGAATTTGAGACATAGTCATTCTCCGCAGTTCTCTGCTATTTAACAAACATAGATGTTGAAAGACACTGGAAAATCTACATTTTAAGTTCCTGTGTAATTTATTTCTTCTCTCTCCGTTCCCTCTCTTTCCAGTTCACTAGAAGTGCAGTATAACAGACTTTTTGTTTCTACAATTAGCTTTGCTTCTAATCCTCTTTGACATTATGCTTTACAGATGACCAAGGATTTTTGTTGTTGTTTTAGGGTTTGTTTGGTTTTTTTTTTTTTTTTTTTTTTTTTTCTCTCCCTGTAGTCCGAGTCTCACTATACAGCCCTGGCTGTAACTCAAGAAGATCTGCCTGTCTCTGCCTCCTAAGTGCTGGGACTAATGATGACCACTACCACCCCTGGTACTTTTTTCCCTTTTAAATTTTTAGTAGAACAACACTATGATTCTCTCTACTTAAGCTAATTTTTCTTCTCAAGATAACCATAGGTTATCCTAGGTTAACAACAACAAAACTACTGGCATTATATGAAGTTAAGATTTACTTGTTTGTTCTTTTTTTAGTTTTCGTTTTGTTTTTTGTTTTGGTTTTTTGGTCTTTTTTGAGACAGGGTCCCCTTGCAGCCCCAACTGACCTGGAACTCACTATGTAGACCAGGCAGGCCTTGAACTCACAGAGATCCACCTGCCTCTGCCTCCCAAGTGCTGGGACTACAGGTGTGCGCCACCACACCTGGCTTAGTTATATTTTTGATGCTAGAGTTGAACCCAGATCCATCATACGTGTTAAACACAGGCTTCAACGCTGAGCTACATCCCTGCCCTTTCTCGTAACATTCAACAAGAAAAAATATTTTAAGGACTTACCTTTTGGAATTTCTTGCAGGTTTTTGACAGCTGTCCAACATCATCCAAATCAAGAAGAGAAAATATCCGTGCGATTATGTGGTCAGGCATCCGAACCAACAAGTCAAATTTTCCCTGACACAGATTCAAAGAATAATCCAATACTTCTTTACCAAATACTTTCTCTATTTGCCCTAAATATCAGAGATGGATAGCAAGCAGACACTGGATTATGACAGGCAAGCATGTAGCTCGGCTTGCTCACAAAAGCTATTCCGAATTGTCTTTAAAATAAGGCCATATTCCCACTGAAGACTGGTCACTGAAAACCCTCAGTGATGTAAATGATAATCTGTTCCTTCTTTGAAGCTCTTTACTATGCCTGATAGCAGGTCTTTGAAAACTTGGCTCTCCACCTGAATTTCCTTTCTTCATTCTTAATGGGTACTTTTCTTGGACACCGAGCACATAGGTGAGAGCTTAGGCCTCGTGTCACAAGGCCATACTTTTCACCACAATGGAACTGAAAAGTGGTTCCCGTGGGTAAAGCACTTGTTCTGTGAACATGAGGTTCAGAATTCTGATCCCTAGCGCTCCAGGTGGGCATGACAGCCCAGTCTTTACCAAGGGGTTGGGGAGTAGAACACACGGAATCCATGGATCAAGCTGGTCCAGAGGTGGGTGTAGGACCTCTATCCATCTAGAGAGCTTCTATGTGTGATCAAAGAGACATGAAGGGACTCGCCTAGGTGGAGCCAGCAATGTGGGTAGAGATTCAGGAGTGGACAGAGCTTGGGTCCCCAGTAGGGGTGGCTTTATTTTGTTTTAATGTGCTACAGAACCTTTACTGGAGCAAGACAAGTATCTACTGCCTTGTAATTCTTAAAGTGGGATTTTCTGGCAGCACACACCTTTAATCTCAGCACTTGGGAGGCAGAGGCAGGTGGATCTCTCTGAGTTCAAGGCCAGCCTGGTCTACATAGTAAGTTCCAGGACAGCTGGGGCTACAGGGAGACCCTGTCTCAAAAAGACAAAAAAAAAAAAAAAGAAAAAAAATGGGATTTTCCACCCAGCAGGAGCTCTGCATGCCTCATGTAAACTTTAGATTGTTTAGCCCTGCCTCCAAACTCCTGCATCAGATGTTCTCAACATGGAGTCCCTGCCCTTTTCCTCAAGAGCACAGTGATATCTGTAGAGGCCTTGTACACTGCCCCAAGTTGTTGAAAACCAGTAGGCCAAGCCAGGGTATCAAAACATCCTCACTTAAGCACCAGGAAATATTCCAAAGCTTGCGTGTGCCTTACAGCTCACAGGTTTAATGCTGTCTGTAAAACTGTGGTTCTCTGCAAAGCTTGCTGTCTAAACAAGAAATACTTAGAAAAACTCTTCATGTTTTTCTGGGACCTACTGATTCCACTAGAGACATTTCAGTAAGCCTATTAGACATCTGAGGGATGAGGCCCTGCAGAGCAGCAGTACCACCAAGGTTCCTCACCCAAAGATTCACTCAGACACCCCCCCCCAAACCCAGAACACTATTTAGCATAGTCTTTGTGCCAGGCACAAGTACCAGATGCATGGGACTTGACTGTAAGGTGCTGTTTGCTTGGCAAGGAGATAGAGGATTATCAGCATAGTTCTTGGAAATTGGGCTGATATGGATGGACAGGAAAATGGGAACGCTCCTTATAGTTACCCTCTCCCTAGGAACACATCTGTATGGATGCCCTCTAGACCTTAGGAAGCAGGTTGCCCTTCCAGATAGTGGCATTTCCCATGGTATTAGGACATTGGACTCTCCTTCCTGTTCAAGGCACAAAGCTTGGAAACAGGTTAGGGTGCCTTTGCAGCAGCAATGTGGCCCCACATGGCTGGAAAATGGGCTTCTTAATGCCAAAGTAGAGCTTCCTGACCTTCATTTTCCACACTTCCAGTTGGTTATCTGGGCTACTTGGTGTCCTTCCAACTCATTCCCCTTTAGGTCAGAGATCTGTTTCTATTCCTTAAAACCAAGACTCCAAAGAAAATTGAGAGTCAATTGTAACAAGGAAGCTTTTGGAAATAGATTACACCTGCCTGAGTCCGGTCCCACTAATAACTTGGGAACAAGAATCTGGCAGATCCTATCTTAGAGTGTAGAGGTGTGAGAAGCTGTGGCCCCTGAAGGGAACCGACCTTGGAGTGAGGTCTAGGAGACCACACTACCACAGTATGGAAGGCAAGGGAATGTGCGATTATAGAACAATGATTTCCAACAGTGTTGAGCTTAAACAAAATAAAAAAAAGTCGTTAGTTATACAGGTGCCAAAATAACACGTTACAGGCAAACAGTTGAAATAACTACAAGGTATCTGAAAGTTGATTCAATCATTCAAACAACTGTCCTGGTTTGATTCTCCATTGCTGTGACAAAACACGCTGATCGATACCAACTTGGGGAGGAAAGGGTTTATTCAGCTTAAATCTCCCAAGTCGCAGTTCATCAGGGAGCCCAAGGTAGGAACTCAGGGCAGGAACCTGGAGCTGGAGCACAGGCCATGGAGGAACACTGCTTAAAGACTTGTTCCCCTGGCCCCTGTTCAGCCTGCTTTCTTATGCAACCGAGGTCTACCTGCCCGGGGTGGTGCCACCCACAATGGATTGTGCCCTCTCACATCACTTAACAATCAAGAAGGTGTCCCACAGACATGGCCAGAGGCCAATCCAATAGAGGCAATCTTCCTCCATCCAGGTGTGTCAAGTTGATACTAAAGCTGTCCAGCACAACCAAGACTGAATCTTAGTGGAGTTATTTGGAGACTCCAGCAGGGCTGGGGTGCCCTAGCCCCACAAGTCCTGCTTCACTCACCAGAGCAGCCTCCTCTCTTGGCACTCCTTCCCCCTGATGCCCCATACCTCTGTTTTGACAGAGACAGGTCTGCTAGAGTAGGCATTAGGGACACTAGACTTCCCACATCAAAAGAAAAAAACCTAATGTCAGCAAAAACTAGTCAAACAGCTGTGGAAAGATCCTGAGTGTAAAAGCCCAAGAAAGAGGCTGGGCATGGTGGCGCATGCCTTTAATCCCAGCACTCGGGAGGCAGAGGCAGGCGGATCTCTATTAGATTGAGGCCAGCCGGGTCTACCTAATTGGTTCCAGTACAACTAGAGGTACAGGCAGACCCCGTCTCAAAAAGACCAAAAAAAAAAAAAAAGTCCAAGAATGGAAGACTCCTAAGTTGGGCTGAAAATACGGACAGCTTGTTTAACTATGTGAGAGGTTTTAGTTGCTTTCTCAGCTGCTTAAATTCAGTGGTGGGCCATGCAAGTAAAGGCTGAGATGTTGGAAATTACCATCAGGCTTCTGGGGATAGTAATGAACTATGTGCTACCTTCTTGACTCCTAATCATGACACTGGACAAAAACTCTCTTCTCCAAACACTGACAATATACTAAGTTGACCTAAGTGTCTTTGAAAATAGGAACTGGAGAGATGGTTCAGTGGTTAAGAACACTGGCTGTGGGGCTGGAGAGATGGCTCAGAGGTTAAGAGTCCTGACTGCTCTTGCAGAGGACCTGGGTTCGATTCTCAGCACCCACATTGTAGCTAACAACCGGCTCTAACTCCAGTTCCAGGGGATGTGATGCCCACTTCTCCGTGGGCACTGCAATGCATGGGTGCACTTTATAACACTCATACACATAAAAAATCAATTTTTTTAAAAAAGAAAATAGTACAATTTAAATGAGCTCAATAACAGGCTGGACAACGTTCCTAAAGCGTACCCACGTGACAATCACTGATGCCTTCAAGAAAGGGATCATTGCAGATAAAGATGTGTTCTGAGGTGGGAAGAACACAGGGGAGTCCTACGTTCATTTGCACATGTTCTCACAAGGGGAGATGGGGAAAAAGGTGGAACAGAAAGGCTTTTGATATTGTCATGATCAAAGAAAGGTCCATAGGTCCCAAGTACTTGGAGAATTAGAGAAGGGAAGGTGATCTTTGTGGCCCACACCATAAGCTTGGGCCATGAGACTGACTGCAGGTTTCTGTCCTCCAAAATGACAAGAGAGCTGTATCTCTCTAAATCTGTGATGACTTGTTGCAGTAGCTCCTAATACCAGTGCCCTGGCTTAACTGGAGAAGGAAATCCAGGAACCTATAAAGAGCCATAGCCATGACGACAGAAGGAAATGGCCTTAACAGTCTGAACTCTTGATATCTGAAGGATTGCTGATCTTAGAGTGCCTGGGACAAAATGGATTGACCAACCACCAGACCCTGGTTTATTTGCATAGCTAAAAACCTATTTCAAATTTTTGAACCTGGACTTCAATTCAGCTATTATGAAAGAGAGACAAAGCCCTTCAGTTTCTAGACTAAAAAAACTCAGAGACCCAGAAACCTTTAATAATCAGGAAAGAGGAGCTGGAGATGGCTCAGTGGTTAAGAGCACCGGCTGTTCTTGCAGAAGATGTGAGTTTGATTCCCAGCACCCACATAGCGGCTAATAACCATCCATAGCTCCAATTCCAGGGGATCTGATGCCACCTTCTGTCTTCTGTGGACAACATGGGTACACATGCATACATGCATGCAATACATGCATACACATAAAGAAAAAAATCAGGAAAGAAGCTACTTGTGAAAAGTTCTCCAAGAACCTACAAGTGAACACTGGCTTTTCTTACAGGAGTTTATGTCAAGATGCACAAACGCGGTAGTGTAGTTGCCAACAGGCAAGGCTGCATAGCTACCCCACAGCTGCAGGAGGGAGCATGCAGCCAAGACCTCAGCCCTTGAGACCTGAGCCACTGTGTCTGACTCTTTATAACAGAGACAAACACCTGGGAAAACAACTTAAAGGAGGAAAGATTTATGTTGACTTGTGATTTCAAAAGTTTCAATCCATAACTGACCCCACTGCTGTGTGCCTGTGGTGAGGCAGTACATCGTGGTGACTGGAGAGTACAGCAGGGGAAGCTGCTTGCCACGTGGTGACTGGGAAGAGACAAGGAAGGCCCAGGGGCATGATATATCTTTGCAGGACATGCCCCCAGTGACCCACTTTCCCCAACTAATAATACTGCCAACATATGAATCTGTCCAGGGGATTAATCCATTGATTAAGTCAGAGCATTCAGGATCCAATAACTTCTCATTAGTACCACTACTGGGGAGCAAGCTGTCCTAGTTTGTTCTTCATTGCTGTGACAAAATACTCTGACCACTACCAACTTGGGGAGGAAAGGGTTTATTTAGCTTACATATCCCAGGTCACAGTTCATAACCAGGAGCCCAAGGTAGGAACTCAGGGCAGGAACCTGGAGGAAGGAGCTGGAGCACAGGCCATGGAGGAATGCTCCTTACTGGCTTGCTCTCCTGGCCCCTGCTCAGCCTGCTTTCTTATTCAACACAGGCCCACCTGCCCAGGGGTGGCACTACCCACAATGTGCTGGGTCTTCCCACATCACACGACAATCAAGATGCCTCACAGACACGGCTACAGGCCAGTCCAATGAAGGCAATTCCCCAGTTGAGGCTCCCTCAACCCAGGGATGTCAAGTTGACACTAAAGCTATCCAGCACAATTGACCCCTTGTCAACTTGACACACAAACATCACTTTTAAACCATAACTTTCCAATTTCTGTCCCCAAGATATGTTAATATCACAAGATAAGACAGTACAACCTTAAAAACCCCATAGTCCTTAAAAAATCCAAACACTTTAAAGTTTTATAGTCTCTTTTAAAAGTCCTTTAAAACAGTGGGCTTCTGTAAAATCCAAAACAAGTACTGTCTTATTTCAAAGGGAAGAATAGGGCACACCTAAGCAAAACCAAAGTCCAGCAAAGCAGCTCAAGGCTGGACATCAGGGATTCACTCACGATCTTCTGGCCTCCAAAGGGTTCTGGCAACTCCACTTCTCTGACTCTGCCAGACACAGAACACACAGCTCG